TATGTCATCTCCAGGAAACCATATCATATTACAAGAGAAAGAGAAACTAAAGAGCAACACTTGGATTTCAGAGGAAGATAAGTAACCTTACCATGGCTTTTGATGGAGCCTCCTGACCCATGCTTTCTCCAGGAATGAACTCCACCATGTCATTTGGGGGAACTAGGAGGATGCAGAATAATGATTAGTATACTTATTTATTGCTTATGAATAGTTCAGGGCATTTCTTTAAAGGGACATCAGTGAAAATATACAGCAAAGATAAGAACAAGAATGAATGAGAAGCACAGCCTTTGGGTTTCCAGTAGATTGGAACCAGGTGTGATATGTGTGTTTTGTATTTTGTACCTTTAGGGGTATGTTTTTCTCTAGAGATGACCACTGAGGCCACTTTAAAAGTATGCAACATATTTCACATCTCTGTAGGAGATTAGTTATTACTAATATATTGTGATAACCTGGAGTGTGTTATATCACTAAGTGATGTATACAGTTCCCTAACCCAAAGCATCACCATCAGGATAATTTCCTGAATTCTTAATGCTTCTTTCACTTACAGAGTGAAGAACCTGGATCTTTTGGCTCAGCAACATCTCTGTCTACAGAGAGGGCCTAGTAACCAAAACTTTACATTTGGGTGTCATGAAGTGGGAAGAAATTATATCAAACAAATCATGCATTAGTGTGGGTTGTTATTTTTAGAAAATGGATGCTTGTTCTGGGTATGTTAGAAGAGAATTTCTGAAGAAGCTCCCATAGCCTCACAAACACATACACAATTATTACACATGGACATGCTCAGAGATACAGCCCTATGCTCATTCACATAAATGCACACCACCCAAAAGACAGCTGTTTCAGGATCATGGTAGATGGCCACAATCCTTCACTGGATTATCACTTTGTCACCATATCCCTATCCTCATTTCCAAACAAAATCTAAATCCAGGATAACTTTTTACATAGAAACAGGAAGGAATGTGTGACCTATCTAAGTACAGAGGTTTTCCTCAGCATGTTAGGGGGTTGAGAATACTTACTTTGCTCATTTGCTGCAGAGGCTACCTGTAGTTACAGAAAGGAAGACAGCGTGAGCAAGAGATCATTTGCACAAGTCTACTGTTGGCTGTGGTGACATTAGATAACTAGATGGGAAACAGCAGTTGGGGCAAAGATCACAAAGTAAGGCAGAGAAGGCACTTGTGAAAAGACATGAGCTTTGCATGAGGGATTTCTCAGGTACAATTTGATGACATGCATAAAATTCTTTTTCTATCAAGGAAAAGTGCCACTGAAGAAAATGCTCACTACAATCATTTGACAATGGTTGTTCTCATATGTGAATGTCATCTTGAATCATTCTCACAGGGAACAGATGTACAGTTGTAATTCCACCACCTATGAGTCACCTATAATGAACACTGTCATATTTTCATGAAGGAATTTGAATTAAAAGGAAGAAAACAACACTTATATCTTAGACAAAGAAGGGTCACATTACCTGAACAATGTAATTTTTTGGGTCTTCTCCCTCATCAATGGATACCACCTCTATTATGACTTGACAGCAATCTAGGGAAATATAGAGTAACTGTCAGTATATTGGTTTGCTGAAGAAACACTCCAGGGGCTTCCTAACTGTGGACATGGGTCTAGAGTGTATGGAGATGGTTGTTTAACACACACAGGCTCAATTACTGCTGGAACATGATTGTTTCTGAATGGCAAGAGAAGGAGCATACCAGGAAACAAAAATTCAAAATAGACAAAAAAATGGAAGGAACTACAATGAGAAATTAAATATTCTACTGTTACACTAGAAGGTTTCAGCATTCCTTTATAACACTTGACAGATCCATCAGGAAGTAAAGAAAAAGTATACTTTTGAATCAATCATTTCTGTTATGGGTCAAATTACTTCCAAACAAATACATGTTTAAGTTCTAAACATGGTTAAGTTAGAACTTAAACAGTACCTCCAAATTTTACTGGGTTTGAAATGAGTCATTGTGATCTTAGCAATTAAAAGTATCCTCTTTGAACAGGGCGGACCCATTCTCCAAATAGGGCATCTGTTCTCATGAAGATGGGGCACATTCATGAGAGACTAATGCCATGTGATGATGCAAGCAGAGAGGAAAGTGCTGCAGTTGAAAACCAAGCAGATCAAGGATGGCCACCAAACCAGTAACAGTTAAGAATGGGCAGGAAAAATCCTTCCTTAAAGTTTTCAGAAGTAACATGTTTCTGCTAACAGGTCAATGTGGGATTCCTAGGAAATAGAGCTCTAAGATAGTACACTTACATTACTTCAACCCAAGAAAGCTGGTACTTAGTTATGGCAACCCTAGGAATTTACCAAAACCATTATCAATCACATAGATCTATTTGGCATTTGTACAAATACTTCATACAACAGTGAGAGAATAAAATTTGTTTTCAAGTTAACATGAGGTATTCATCAAGATAAAATATATTTTGGCCCAAAACATTCCTTGGCATGTTGAGAAATTGTGCAAATTTGCTGTCAGGAGAAGAGAAGTTGGCAAATTGGAGGAAGGATGCACCCACGACAGTTCTTCAGTGCCAGATTTAGAAGGCAAGAAGACTGCTTCTCAGTGAGAGGGGAACTAAAGGAAGTCACCCAAACTTAATAGTGAATGGAAAAAATCATAGAGGCATATAAAGTCAAAAACTCAAGCAAAAGAAATAATACAAGACAGAAGCAAATTTAAGATAGAGAGAACCTTTATTTCTTGCAGCTCCACAACCTGTAATGCAAACAGTGCGAATAGTCCTTCCTCTCAGGTGGGCAAAAGAGGGGTTTCACGAAAACTCAATAGTGGACACTCAGGGAGTCTTAGAGAATCAGAAACTTGGCTACATTAAACAAAGACAAAAAAAGAAAGTACATTGGATCCAAGCTGATGGTGGCAGAAGCAGCGGCAGCAGCAGCAGGAATAGTGGCACCGCTAGATCACAGAAAGAGGGAAATGCACAGAAACAAAATAGAAAGATTCAGTGTGAAAATCCCGAGATCAGAGAGGCAACGTTTTCTTGGCTGAGAAGAGGCTTCTTTGCACTGCACACTGTACATGAAGGGAGATCTGTGATTCATGCTGTCCCCAGAGAGCAAGGCAGGAGCCACCTTGACAAGCCAAGCTGATGCTGCCACTGCAGGAGCCAGGAGCTGGGAGATCTGAGCAGGTAGGCACACATGGACCTGAAAGGCACCTGCCACAGCACCTAGGCTTTGCCTGGCTGAGCTAGAGCAAAAGGCATGGAGAGCATTCTCCCCAGGGGAACTCAAGTCAGAGATGTGCAGGAAAGCTCTGGTCCTTTCCTCCTTGAGTCTGGTGCCTCCCAGGACCAGCTGAAGGGGATTGAGAATTTGAAGGAGCAGGTGTGAAAATGGGCTGCTGTGAATAGCTGCCCAGACCATAAGCCCAGGAAGCATGGAAAGGTCGCTCCACAGGCAGCAGAGTGGGTGGGGGAAGCTGACTAGCACATCCATAGTTGGAATTAAGAACAAGGTTCAGAAAATCACCTCAATAGATGTAGAAAAGCTCTTGATTAAAAAGGAGAAACAATTCTTTTCAAAAATAAAGGAGAAACCTGGAATAGAAGGAACTTAGTTTCAATATTATAAAAGCCATATATGAGAAATTCAAAGCCAACATCACACTGAACAGAGATAAAAATGAACTGTCTTCCTCAAATATCAAGAACAAGAAAAGAATGTCTACTTTTGCCAATTTTATTCAATATATTTTTCTGAAATAATGTCAGAACAATCAGGCAAAAGTAGGAAATTAATAGGATACCATAAGAAAAATTCAAATTGTCCACATTACCTGGTGACATGATTCTATATTTAGAAGGCCCAAAAATTTTCACCAGAAGAATTCTAGAAGTAATAAATTTAGCAATGTAGCAGGATAAAAGATCAACACAAATAAATCAATATTGTCACTATACTCCAACACTGATGGCACAGATTTAGAATTCAAGAAAATAATTTCTTTTATAATAATGTAAAAAAGCCCCTGGGGATAAATCTACCAAATAGGATGTAAGGTCTCTACAACAAAAATTATAGAACACTGAAAAAGAAATGGAAGAAGACCTCAGAAGGGGCAAAAAAAGTTCTGTGTTCTTGGATAGGCAGAATTAATATTGTCAAAGTGGCCATAATATCAACAACAATATCCAGGTTCAATGAATTCAATACAATCCCCTTCAAACTACAAATGACATTCCTTACAGTATTGAAAAACCAACCCTGAAATTCATTTGAGATGATGATGATGATGATGATAATAGTAATAATAATTATTATTATAATATTATATTATATTAATTATTATATTTATTATTATATAATAATAATTATAATAATTATTATTATTATTATTTGGCAAAGCAATTCTGAGCAAGAAAAAGTAAGGTGAAAGCCAGCACAATAACCAATCTCATATTTTACTACAGAGATGAGTAGCAAAAACAGTATCTTATTCAACTGAAAATAGATATGAAGATCCTTGAATAGAATATACCACACAGAGACAACCCACCTGATACTTACATCCACCTGATACTGGACAACAGCACCAAAATATATGTTAGAGAGGACATTATGGTTTAAACAAATGGTGCTGGGGAAACTGGATAAGCATAGAAATACCAGGAAGGATGGGAGAAAGAAGGTACACTGACACAATGTTGGTGAGTCTGTAAATTATTATGACAACTCTAGAAAGCAATGTGCAGATTCCTGACAAGCCCAAGAGTGGAACTCATAGGACTCAGCTATTACATTCCTCCCTGCTTATTCTATAGAACTACAAGTCAGCATACTATAGTGATACAATCACTTCAATGTTTGTAGCATTCACCATAAATACATTGTATGATCAACCCAGATGTCCACCAACAGTTGAAATAATCAAGTGCACAGAATTAAAAGGTAACTAGATCTTTACTTCTGGAGCTATAGCACTGCTGAATGACTCAAAGCACGTAAATTAGTACATGTTAAATAAAAGAAGAATTGGAACTCTGAATCAACTAGAATCATTATTGCAGAATGGACACAATGACAGGATTTCCACAGTACCTTCGTTGGAATTTTCATTTGGCACAGCACTGTTTCGTGGCCAGAGGCCTCCTCTGAACCAAGGCCTGTGTAAGTCTTCTGCATTTGGGGGTTTCTTCCAACATGGGAGGCAACAGCCTGGGAAATGTGATAAAACAGAGTTAGCTGTTGACAATGTGCTAGCAAGAAAACATAGGGTCATCAATAGTAATTCAAATAACAGTTCAACCAGTTTTAATTGATAAGTGATCATTGTAAATATCTGGGGGTATAATTTGAGCTTTGAATTCAAGTATGTATTTATACACTAATAGCATGCCCAGAAACTTAAATATTTCTTCTATGTTTTTGTTCTGTCATTTTCAACAACAAGAGGTGATAATTATGTTATCAGAAATAGGTCTGGGACACAAAGATAAATGCTGCATAATATCACTCTTTCGTGGAAACTGAAAAATTGATCATAGAAGGTGAGAGTAGAGTATTAGTTAGCAGAGCAGGGGAGACAATGTTACAATTGAATATTAGAAAAAAAGTTCTGATGTATTTTTGCAGTCTGTTAACAGAGTTAAAAATAATAAAATCTGGGTCTCGGGATGTGGCTCATTTGGAGAGTGCTTGCCTTGCATGACTGAGGCATGGGGTTTGATTCCCAGCACCACATTTAAATAAATAAATAAATAAAGGTCCATGAATAACTAATAAAAAATTTTAAAAATAACAAAATCTATGTTTAATAAATTTTGAAGGAGGGATGTGAATGTTCTTAGATTTCACACTACTGAGTTTATTTTTCACCATTGGGGCAGCAAAGCACCTGAGTCAGATTGAGCTTTAGGATAACAATGCAATGTGTGAGGTCTACAACCCAACACAATATTGTGTGGTCAAAAAGAATTACTGAGGCAGAATCATAGAAAGGCAGAGAAAACAGTGACCATAAGCAGAGGCTGTGGTTATGTGGCTTTTGTTCAAATCCTACCTCAAAAATTAAATACCTGTGCAGTTAAATAAACCCCTTCTCAATTGTTTGCAAAAAGTGTGGCATCTGATCCATGTAATGGTATAAGGCTGACAATGATCACATCCATGCATTCTTAAGAGGACTGGTGCTTCATAAGGGTGCTAATGTGTCATATCATTAAATAGGACACTTCATTAAATGTGTGGAAAAATAAGCTCAATCGTTGACAGTGTTTGAACAGAGAGGTGTCAAACAGAGGTCATCCTCCAGAGCAATGGGTAAAGAAAGTCTATTCCTCATTCTTTACAGATGGGTATTTGTAAAGCTCATGGAGAATATCTGTGACCTCCTATGACTCCATATCAGCCTAAAGGGATGGGTGAGCAGAGTCTGTCCACCACAATTTAGAGTTTAGGTGTTTGTAATTTGGAGATTTTATGTGACTTGCTCAGATTCACAAGAATGATGAGCGGTGGATGTGGGACAGGAATGTAGCTATTTATCTGGGACCAGAAATCCCTGAGCACTTGCGTCCTCTAGTGGATATCCTAGAACCAGGAAACCAGAACTCTTCTCAGTTCTTTTCAAATACTCCTTCCTTCAGGCCTCTTTGGCATGAGGTTTCAGTAGCAGACACCATGAGAAATGTTCAAGTTATAACCCCGGGCTCCTGTCTCTTCATTACAATTACTGACTTAAAAATGATGATTTCATGTAAATGAAGCCTATCTGAAGGTCAAGGTGAAAAGGTTAAGAATGTAAGAATTAAGTTCTGTTTTCCTGGAACCTGAAACTCATGTAGAAGTTGAAAACAACTCCCGGAAATGCCCACTAAATGTATGTTGAAATCTCCCCTGATCATCTGGTTGCTCTACGAAAACAACCCCTCCCAGAAACCATGCAATGATTGGCTATGCTGTATGTGAAGTCCCTGCCCTCTCCAAGGAATGTATATAAGCTCTGCTTAAGCTGTTCCCGGAGCTCTCTGCTCTATTCAAGTGAGCTCTGAGCCCCAGCATGCTGGACCCCCAATAAACCCTTTGCTGTTGCATGAGACAGTCTCTTGGTGGTCTCTTCCTCCGACGCTAGCCCAACCTTTACAAAGGGTAGAGTCCACACTTGGAGCCATCCTCCCCCAGGGTCTTCTCACTGCCAGCTGTCTCCCAGTGAGCCTTCCTGATGAGCAGTTGACCATCTAAATCATCAGAGTTCTCTGGGGCTCACCAACTGTTTCAGAACTTGGGACATTCTAAACCAACTGCCACTTGATGGCTGTGCCAAGAATGAAGTTTCCTTGAGCTCTTCCCTCCTGGATGGCCTGTTAGTGGGGATTCATCAGGGAAACAGATACTCTGGGCTGATGGTTTGATGTTTCCATGTCAGAAGCTGGCCTGCCCCATGTCTGCAGTCTAATATTCTGAGCCATCATCTGAGCAGTCAGACAAGGCCTGGTTGAAATGTCATTTCTCCAGATGCACCAGCTCTGATCAGGCATATTCCTGCTCCTGGCTTTCCAAGCCTCTTCCTAGACCCTGCATGGCCAGGGGCCAGAGACTTATCTGCCTAGATGGAACCACCACTAACTATAACCTGTGAACCTCAACCAATGGATCCTTCCTGAAACCACTGAGGCCCTCATTTCCTCCATTATCAGAGATCCACTCCACTGACCTCAAGGCACTGTCCTTTTTGCCTTCTTCCCAGTAGCCCCCAAACACCTGGGATCCTGTAGTTATCAACCAATTGGAAACGTTTCCTGAAATTTCAGTCCTCTTTTCTTTTACAAAAGTCTTGATTTAGACTTCTCTAACATTATTTTTAGATATTCATATACATTGAGATGGGTTTGGTTTCTAATTGCCCTTTCATGGTATATATATTGCCTTACTTAGCATCCATATACTATCTCTCACTTTATTTCTTCATCTCATGAAAGCAAGGTGGGTGTCCTCCTCCTGTAATTCACTTTAAGGGCACACATGTTATTGGCATTAGGAATGGTTCATTTTTCTAAATTTAGAAAAACATTTTCAGTAACCAGGTCAATAGAACAAGCAAATATATGAATTGAGTGATAAAACAATATCACCAAATACTTAAATCTCAGGAGAGAAGATTCAGTGTTGAAGATGAAAAAATCAAGAGGAAAATATATTCAGTAAACATTAACTGCCCTTTGAAGAAACAGACTTAAAAATATCACTGACAACATACCTTCCCCACAGCAGTTTAGATTTCCCATGGCCAACCAGGAACTCAAAACCTCCCTACTCTTCTCCAACTTTAACTGACACCAACTCACTCACCACACCAACTGAGTGGAAATGGAAGGTAAGATGTGCATCCCACATTACCATGGTGACTGGTCAACATGGAACTTTCATTGTGAGCACATGCCACATTCTGAGCTGCTACTATTATCTTAGTAAGTGTATTTTCATGTCCAAGTGTGTTGTTGAATAGTTTGTGTATTGCTTCAAAAACTGAAACCTAGACCCATATATTAATATTTCTTGTTTATGAAAATAAGTGAAATTAGAAAAAAAGGATTTACTCCCAAAATTATTTCATTGATCAAAAAATCATGGGATGAAAAGGATGCATAGCTATAGTTTTGAGAATCAAAGAAGATTCCATTTCTGGTTTGTAATTCTAAACCTACACATGTCTCAATCTTTCTGAACCTCCAAACATTTGTAGATAGAGAAAATTAAAATGTCTTTTTGATTCAGAATGAAAATGTATACAAAGTATTATCTTTTAAGAGTTGAGGAAATTTTCAGGAAGGAGAAATTTTAAGATCACATCCCCCTTATTTTAAATTTGAAAACAAAACTATTTTCTATTTAGTAGGATTTAATTCAATCATTTGAATTAATCTTCCTCTTCCATGACTCCTGCTGTGGAATCCATTCTTTTGCTTCTCATCCTATCCTGTCATCTCATACCACAAAAACTCATGGTTGAACATGAACATGGTGAGGTCTATACAAACAATGTATGCAATGCCTTCACATTGTAAAAGCTATCTATGCTAAACCCAAGGCCAACATTATTACTAAATGAGAAAAGCAGAAAGCATTCCCTCTAAGGACAGAAACAAGACAGGGATGCCCTCTTTGAAACTCTAGTCAGAGTAATCAGACAGATGAATGAAATTAAAGTGATTTGCATAGAATAAGAACTCAAATTATCACCCTTTGCTGAGGACATAGTTCTATATTTAGAAGATCCAAAAAATTCCTCCAGAAAGCTTCTAGAACCAATAAATACATTCAGCAAATTAGGATATAAAATCAATACCCATGAATCAAATGCATTTCTATATATAAGCGATGAATCCACAGCAAGAGAAAGTAGGAAAACCTCCGCACTGACTCTAGCCTCAAATAAATAGAACACTTGGGAATCAATCTAAAAAAGGAGGTGCAAGACCTCTACAATGAAAACTATAGAACACTAAGGAAAAAAATTGAAAAAGATCTTAGAAGATGGAAAGATTTCTCATGCTCTTGGATAGGCAGAATTAATATAGCCAAAAATGGCCATACTACCAAAACTTTTACAAAGATTTAATGCAATTCCTATTAAAATCCCAAGGACATTCTTGTTTTTTAATTAAAAACACCAGGCAAAGGCTAATGCTCTCCCACATGGGGTCTTTCCCTTGGGGTCTCTCCTGACCCTCTTTTTGGCTTTGGCTTATGCTTTCCCTCAGGGAAGTCATTCCCTGTGGACCTTCAGGACCTTCTTTTTGCTTGGGGCTTTTTCTATCTCCCAGGTTGCATCTGCATGGAAGGTTCTCAGGATATTCATCCTGGCCCCAGCAACTCAGGCAACTCAGGACAAGGCAACTCTGGGAACTCTGGACACACAGGTAACTCTGGACACATTGAAGAGCCATTTCCTCCTGGCACCCCACTGGAGCCCACAAGCCAGGTGGATAGCTCACTAGAGGAGGCACCTGGGGTGCAACTGCTGCCACTGCTGTGGCTGTTGTTCCTGCTGATTCTGATTCCATTACTACAGGGGCTTGTAGAGATGTCGAGTATGGGAATCCCACTGGGATTGGCACTGGATGGGGCACAGACATTTTCACATGGGGTTGCATTGCCTGGAGCCAAGGACCTGGGTGTCCTGGCACATAAAGCAAAGGTGCTGGGGCTGGCATCTG